AAAAAAATAACAGTTTACCTCATATGTTCCTAAAAAATAATTTGAATATACTGTATCAACAAAGTTGAAATGGTAAATTGGCCACCGTTATGTTTATAAAAGCTGAGGTTTCGAGCGTTAGCCCTTCGTCGGAGCTAACATTAGCCCTTCGTCGGAGCAAAGGGCTAACGTTAGCTCTGACGAAGGGCTAATGCTCGAAATATCAGCTTTTATAATCATAACGGTGGCCAATTTACCATTTCAACTTTGTTGATACAGTATATTCAAATTATTTTTTAGGAACATATGAGGTAAACTGTTATTTTTTTTGCAGGACTCTACACCAAAGGTCTTATCTACATAGATGTCCCAATTGCTGATGATGACTATATAGTAGGTAAGAAATTGTAGAATGTTTTAAGTGAGCTAGGGTAAGGTGATCCTAGGAAAAATTATGAACACATTGCTGATGATGACGATATAGTAGGTAAGAAATTGTAGAATGTTTTAAGTGAGCCAGGGTATGGTGATCCTAGGAAAAATTATGAACACACTGATGCACACAAGTTGCTGACAGGGTAAAAGTGGTGAAAAAACAACTTGTCAATAACATGGGAGTTGTGAAAACCTATAAGTATTATTTTACAGTTTGTTTTGGATGCCAAAACATTTTTTAGGAGTAGTGTGACATTATCACCTTAAGTTTGGAAAATAAAATTTGATGAAGTGTGAGCAAATAATATTCCCAAAGAAAAGAGTTGTATGCATGACCTTAGCTTTTGTCATATAGACTCATAATTCATAGAGAAGTGCGACATTTTTGATAATTTATTTTAAGATCTTGGTTGGCTAAACTTTTTTTCTATTTGTTTCTTTGCAGTTCCACCTTTAGAAAATTTTGTGATGAACAGGGTTTTGGGTGATTATTTTGAAGTTCTGATGTACAAGATCTTTGTTTCAATAGATGAGCACACTAATATAAAAGAGGTAGGTTTTAACCTATTTGTTTGCTTCCAAAGTTTGAACTACTCTGAAAGGCTAGATGAGCACAATCATCAAAATTTCTGAGTCAACCTGTTATTGGTTTTTGATTAATTACTATAATTATTATAGTAAAAATAAAGAAGAAAAGCTAATAGGTTTATGGTTTCAACAAGTGATTGTAACAAATGATGTTTTATCCATTTTTTATTGCAGTTAGCAAATGTCTTGCAGATAGATTTGCAATTAGTTAAGGTAAGATTTTTTCATGAAGTAAATTAGTAACTTTTCTGTTTCCTGTTGATTTTTTGCCTATTGCAACTAAAAAGAGCCCATACTAAAAAACAGGTTGTGCTTTAGACTACAAAAATCATTATCCTTTTGTATTATCATACAGAATGCAGTGTCAGTATATATTCGACTTGGTTTTGCACATAAGAAGGGTGTGGAAATTGACGAAACTAAGTTACACCGCTCTTGGACAGAGAAAGTAAACAGTTTGGCTATGAAGAGGTGATAAATAATTTTCACATTTCAATGTTTGCATCGTCATTGTCATGATTGAAGATGGCCTGTGCTTTAACAATGCTGATCCAAGCAGTTTCCAAAAAGCATGTCACATTTAACATAATAATGACCAGGATCACCATAAAGAGCCTGTGGCTCTGTGGTAGGGCTTGGGAGCATAGAATCCAAAAGTCTCTGGTTCAATTCCTCGTGGGGAACTGAACAGGGTTTTTCTTTGGCAACGCTTGTGACAAGACAAAGGCATTTGTTTGTTCTTTACTTTGTTTTGTTGATTTGTGTTCCGCCAGATGTAGCAGCAAGGAGAATCTCCTGACTCTGGACCTTAGTAACCTCCCAGACAAGGCCAATTCAATGACAACTTTTCTGGATGCTTTGTCAAATGATTCTCATGAAACAAATGGAGAGCTTTCCTCACAAAGTAAATATGTATATATTACTACATCACCTAAATGCAATAGGAACAGATCTTATAGCATTTATAAAAGGGTGTTTGGAAGGATCTGGGCTTTTCAGATCAAAGAAAAGTGAAGTCTGCAAATGAAACAATTGCCCATTCCCCTTCAAATTATCTCACTGTCCATCATAATAAAGTGATTAGTTTTGCCTTTTCCCTTGTACAATCAATCAGTCAATCAACAACTTTATTTAAGTATCCTAATCTTCTAGCTTGCCCTCAGGCCTACTAATCGGGGACACTACTTAAATTAGTTATTAATGATAAATATATATTAATAATACTAAAAGATAATAAGAATTAACTATTCAAAACTTTTTCAAATATATACAATAGTCAATATACTGAAAAATACACATATGCAATAAAAACTATGTATACAATTTTATAATATATCAACTCTACTAGTTATAATATTTTCTGTTTATGAATTATGAGTTACACAGGTGGCACTTTTTGCATACTAGATTGTAGTTCAGCATGATTTACCCCAAAGTTTCATCAGGCTCCTTTGACATTTCACTGGCAACCATTAATACTCCAGGATGGCAAGAGGCACAGTGAGAGCAAACCCTTTAACTCTCAGAAATGATTAAAATGTAACTCTTCCCGTTAATGTCCATACTTTATCCAGGAAACAGGTGATGAGAATGCTCAAACTTGTCTGGTAGAAGTTATTTTCTTGATCCAGCCCCATATTTGTGTAAACAATCTACAGGGAAATGTGTAGCAGCTCAAGGGAAGAGTGAACAATCAGATCTTGGGAGTTAATGGTTAAGTGTACTAGTTCTTATTAACCATGTGGGAGGTCTGTATGGGAGAATCTTGACTAAGGTCGCCAGTATAGACCGATTGCAGTGAGGTCTGTACCAGCAACCGAGGTCAAGATTATCCCATACAGACCGACCTAGCTCGGTTAATAAGATGTTTATTATATGGCTGTGTCTAGAAAGCAATGGAACATTATATTCTTTGTAACTTTTTTTTCTAGACTGGTCTAGATGGGAAAATCTAGACTGCTTTCAACATTAATTTCAGCCAATCAAATTCGTGAATTCGTTGGTTCCCAGTCCTTGTGAGACACAGCCATATAATAATGCCCAATAATACCATACAGTGACCTAACTAAAGGTCAATCCCCACTTCTTGACCAAGAGTCCTGTGCCAAACCTTAAGGCTTCTACCTCACACACTGGGGATCATGGCCTGCTTTAAAACCATGTTAATTAATGTCACTGCAACCTCTGATAGGAATTTTTTTCTTTTGCAAACGTCAAAAGTTACAATGTAGTTCAATTGTGCAACTTGTTTTTACAGCTGATAGTATTTCAGGAGGGGCTACAAAGAGGATTGCTTTCCTTTTTGATTCCACACTGACTGCTTTCCTCATGATGGGCAATCTGTCCCCAGTGAGTACTGTTGGACTTTGTTGTTACTCAGTAATGCTGAGCAAATATGACAAACCACCTTGCTTGCATGCTCTCATCTAAGCATGCCTATTGCCTAATGGAGATGTGCATTATGTCTCAATTATTGTATCATCAGTGGTTGCATGTTTGCATTTGCTTGTGTTGTGTTAAGTTAATGTTTGTTGAGAAGAGCACTAGATCTGCTGTCTTTGTATAGAAAGCCTCTCAGTCCTTTAACCCTTAACGGTGACCAGTATCTAATTTCTCCTTACATCATCACTACTGAATCAAACGTTAAGGTTAGGAGAATACAGGAAAGGATCACCCACTTAAGAAGCTCTGGATTGTTGAACAGATTCTCCTCGTCAATACCATAGAAAATGAATAGAAAACAGTATGGAGAATATACATACTGATGTTAGGCTGTAATTTTTCCATTATTATTATTATTTTTTCGTTGATGTAGGGTTTGAAGAGCCATGCAGTTACAATGTTTGAAGTTGGAAAACTCACAGATGAATCGTTAGATAGTTTTCTTGGAGAACTTGAAAAGGCAAGTCTGAAAAATCTTGATTGTCTTCTTTTTATTGTTGTCAAAAAGATTTCCAACTGAGAAAAGGTGCGGGCACAGAGTAACGTTTTGGGGGGATATCAGGTGTGGGGGGGAACATGCTCGTGTTTTGTGTTGGAACCTTTGCAGAAGGCGAAGCTCAAAGATATTTCGACCATGCCATCACACTTAGGGACACCATCTTGTTCCTGAGGTACAACAGGAACCTTGGGTTGGAACCTGATCAAGTCCCTGCTAAGGGTTTAGGTGAGGAATGAAGCGTGAAGAACTTATCGACTGCATTAAATTATATAAAATGAAACCTTGACAATTACGCGTTTTGTTCTATATACAGACCTGTTACGATGTGAAAGTCTCAACAGTCTAGATTCTGCTGCTTGTGGTCGAGTTCTGCAAAAGAACTACAGGTATTTCCAAGTTCTGCAATTTCATTCTTCCAACTTGTACGTGTGGAATTTGGTATTATATCAAGAACCTCTTGCCTGGTTGATAATGTATTTCATTGTCGTTACCTTTCTGCTTTAAAGTATGTTAAAATGTATAGAGAATCTACACACTGATCGTATTCGGGAGTCAAAGGGTAAACATCATTTACTACCAGCTCTATCTGACACTACTCAAAATAACTTGGGGTTTGCTCTTCGCTTCGATGAATTATTTGGATATTTAAGCTCCCAAAGATAACTTTTAGTGGCTTGCGTGACTAACCTAGGCTGACTTACTTGAGAATAACAAAAGAGCGTGACTATCTAACTAACGATGCTGAGTTCTAATCTTGTTTACAATTTTTAGTTTACTGGTGTCAATGGCGCCCCTAAGTCACGAGATCCGACCTGTGACGAGCTGTTGCCCGCCGCATTTTGGTCCAGCGGTACCCGAGGTCAACTCAGTGTGGTTCAAACTGTTCATTTATGAACAAGTAAAAAGTGGCCCACCCTCTCTTCTTCTAATGAAGGGTACTCGCCTCAGGTGGTTACCCAAAATTTTCGAGGTATAATTGATTCGAATTGTTTAAGTAAGGATTGATAAAGGTTAGAGCGATTCAACCCCCCCCCTCCCCCCGTCCCCACTGTGATCTGGGTTAACTCGATTCTCTTCCTTGCTCCGAGAGTTTTTATGCGGTTCCTTGGTTTTCCTCCCTCCACATGAACCAACTCTTCAACTTCCAATTCGACCTGGAAACAGCGGAGTAGAGGCCACTTTAAGTGCCACTACTACATCATCAACGTCGTCGTCATCATCATCATCATCATCATTATTTTTATTAATTTTTTTAAAATTTTCCCTAGGATTATGAAAGATTGATGATAACCACGTGGGGTCACGATCCAGGAATTGTGTCTGTTTCCAACGTTTTATTGGCGCTGAACGATGCTCTGTCCCACTCGGCCGTGTTGGTTCAGGTGAGCTTACAGTAAGACAGACTCCTCTGTGAGGAGAATCAGCGGGAATTTCAGTATTAAATAAAAAGAAAAGATTAGAGTAAACCTCAAATAAGTGTACTACATGATCCGAGACTTCTTTGGCTTGCATGACTTAGTTCCGATTGGTCGAGAAATCGTGCGCCACCCTCTCAGCCAATCAGAATTAAGATTGTAATCAATCGTTACTCGTATTTTCTCACAGGCCACAGATAAGAAGCACGAGTAAACCAACCGTTTGCAACGTGTGTAAAAACGCACGAAGGGCACGTGTCTGCATTCGTCAGGTCGCCTACTTGATTGGCTAGAAAATCATCGACCAGGTTATATGCCTATGATATTTGGATTGGTTGAAACGAATTGCGCGAATCTATACGACGACAACTTGTTTCCGTGCACGACGCCGTAAAAACACTGGAATCCCAGAATAAACGTCGTTTTAGAGCCTCTTGGTCCTTGCTACGTTTAGATGGTGATAGTTTTTAGATAGTATATGGGTGGACAAAGACTGTGACAAAGTAATTTATTCTACATGTATTTTTAAAACAGGCTCATGGACTTCATACAGAGGGTGATGTGGTCTATGTGCCATTTCCACTGGATTGTAAATACGGTAAGTGACTAAACCCCTGCTTTGATCCCCTAAGCATCTAAACTGCTCTTGCCGTATCACCCTGAATCAGATAGTAAGGTCACAAGAGTAAAGGAAATGATCACCAACTAAAAACGCTCTTTATTGTGAAACAAATTCTCCTTGTCAGCACTCAAGGAAAAGTAGAGAGAACAAGCAAAAAGGGTCAAGGAAAATATCAGAAAGGGAAGAAAATCTGTAACCATAACCTTATAATGTCTTTGATTTTTGATTATCAACCGGAATTGTTGAGCGCGTAATCGTCGATAACTCCTTGCAGGCGAACCGTTCTCTGAAGATAACATGGAGGCGCACCCTGCTATTCAACAGCTTTCGAAATGTCTCGATTTGGAACACACGTGTGGTTTTATAGCCATGTTAAAACCGTCCGTCACTAAACAAGCCGCGAGCGCACGCCGGAGGACCATATCGGCAAACTTCGGCATGCCCTCGGCGGTCGAGAGCGATCCTCGTTCGCCGTCGCCGTTGATTGTCATCAACGACGCGGATAGCAGCGTAGACTCGGCGAGCGATGAGCAGAACGAGGAGGACGGAATTGATGGGGTGACTTGTGGGTCAGATAATGATATGGTGCTGGTTGGTAAAGGGAAGAAGAAAGAGATTGAAGGCGATAGAGTTGCTGAGAAATGGCTGCCGCTAGACCTGTGTTATGGTCTTCCTTTGTTTGATGGGGACTTGAGCAATCAAGTCTATCAGAAGGTATGATCTAATCTTTGAAACAAGCCCTCTATTGATACGTCTGTTACATTTAGTATTTCTTATTTTTCCTTCTTTGTGGTCGTTTTGGGTGCGAACTTATGGTGGTACTAAACTTCTCTAAACCAAATAAAGTGATAACCCAAATAGAATGTACAACATAGCCCCGGCCCTGCGATAGATTATGGTATCTTATATTTCATATGCCTGGAGAACATGTCACTGTGGTACTAACAGTGGTGTTAATAGAAATTGAAGTCTGAAGGTTTGCTTTTAAACCAATCGGCTTAGTTCGCCGCAAAACCGAATTATTTTTCATTTTATTTTTGCAGATATCCTCGAAGGGACTGTGCCACGAGGAAAGGTAGAATGTCGAAATTTCTCGACAATCTTCGTGTATTTATAAAGGAATTCCTCGTGGTTGATCTCTCCCTTTATCTTTGCAGTTTAAAGTCACTCGTACACTCTAGCCGAAAACTTACTCTGCGACTTCTGGATTTTATTTCTAAACACCAGGTGAAGTTCTAATTATGATCTCATTCATACAAAGAACAGCCGCGAAGCAGAAACTTGCATTTTATAAAACTGAGTACCTAATTAAGTTTAAGTCGGCGTCCGCTTAATAAAGATCGTTAGTCTTTTATCGGGTTCCCACAGTGCATAAATCACTTTTATAAAACAATTTAAAATTGAGTGTTGAGAGTAATTTGGGTTTTTAGTGGTTTTTTTTATTTCGATCTGTCATTAGTTAAAAGAAAACGCGCCGCATTCGCAATCAATCAAATGTAAGTGAACTCAATCGCGAGTGTTTCGCCCGCGTTTTCCCACGCTTCATGCCATTTGCTTTTTGTTGTTGTTTTCTTTATTGCGAGTTCTCATTGGCTTATGCAAAATTTCGACCAATCAGATGCAAAACTAAGCCTTGGTGCAAATTTGTAGCCCGCGTTTTCTCGCGCCCAAGTCCATTTTTCGTTTTTAATTTGAGTTTTCACTGGTTCCTGTTACATTTCATTTTCGGGTTTGTTGTTGTGATCAAGTTGCGTTTGGGTTCTGGTCTCTATCTGTTACTGAAACACTCGTCTGATATGACGCTTGTTTCTTCACAGGACGCCAATGTATTTCAAGAAACAGCAAGTGACCCAAACTCCTTTTCCTCACAAGGACTTAGTTCGCCCACGTCAATTATTCCTTACCCGACTCGTAATCTCTGCTTCTTCAACGGAAAACTTGATGTCTGGGATGGCAGGTGACACACGCAGATACTGGTACCTAGACACTGTTACGATAATTCTTTTTTCCTTTAAATTTTGTACGATATCTGTAAAGAATATATGATGACGAATCCCTTCCTAAGTGAAAGCATCAGGTTGCAAATCAGAGATTAATACAGAGCATTTTAGCTATTATAGTGATCTTTGGCTTTCATTCAGTAAAATCGCAATTTGACAAGTTCTCCGGCGTAATGATTCTTTTGAGCACTTGAAACTCGACTGCGAGTTTTTAATGAAATACTGAAAAAATATCAACTACGAGAGGCTTAATTTTATTCTTCATAACAATAAATCTTGTCATAGATAGTTGTGCCTTTTCCTAACTAAAAAATGTGGAAAAATTGTACCATTTCAGTAGCTTGTGAGATCAGCGCCATCTTCGCTCAGTTGTGTTGTAGAAGGACGACTTATGACGCGTTTTTCCTGCGCAAGTCACACTGGCTGCTTTGCATGGAGTGTAGCTCTGTGATTTGTTTATAAAATTCCCGACACCGTGTAAACCAATCGCGATTTCGTTACTCGCGTTTTCCCGCGTTTAGACCGTTAACCGCCATGCATTTATTTTGAGATCCCATGGCTCTTTGTGTTATAACAGTTTGTCTGATTGGCTTTTGTGACAGCTGGTTTGGACAAGTTTGGGTTCCGTTTTAACGATGCCAAATCGAAAAGTGAAGAATTTTCGATTTGACATCGTTGGGCGGCTTTCGCAGCGTGTGCTGGAAGCGTCAGTAGAAGATCAGTAATTATGTAACATTACAGTCTAATTAATTCACTGATTCAGGTTTCTGATGGAGACCTGGAGATGACAGTGATACTGTCAGTTAGAATCGTATCACCTCTTGAAATATGAATGGGGACAAGACAACGAGATTCAAGTGTAAAAAATGTTTTTTGCGACTATTTGTGTCAGGGCAAGCATGGTACGGACTTTTACGACTAATCATTTAGGAGAACCTTATCTTTGCCATAAATATCTCCGCCAAAATAGCATAGTAAACAATTGGAAAATCCCGTTGTTTTGGTAGCTTATTTTCCCTCGGTAATCTTTATTTAAGGACTAGTGTTAAGGGGAGAGATTATCGCTTATCTGTGTTGTATACATAAACCACAAACCGGGGAACCAGTCTTTTAAGACAAATTACAAAATTAAAGTTTATATCAACCTTTGCTCATTGCAAATGAAATATTCATATAAATATCCTAGTAATTTATTTTTACTCGTAAAAATACAGATATGATTTTGAAGTAAGAGGTTATCTTTGATTGACTGAATAAATGTAGCCGTTGGATTTAATTGATGTGTTTTAGCAGTCATTATTTTTAACGATTATTCCATGAGCGCGCGTTCGATATGGGATGGAAAATAACCAACGAGGCGCGTAGCGCCAAGTTGATAATAACCAGTCTCGTATTCAAAATGCACGATTGGAATATTTTTTTATTAAAAAATTTCATTAAATCCTAAACGTTTGGATATTGAAGCCTTTTTTCCTCTTAGCAACAGTTGGCGCAACGCATTTCCATATAAGGTGACTTCGAATATGAGCTGATATGGGAATTTGATTGAACCAATTAGAACATTCGGAATTGAAAATTTATGAATTCCCGTTTTTGCGTTCGTTTAGAATATGTTTCTATGTGACCATGTTAAACGTTTGGATTTTGTTTCTGTGTATTCATGTTAAATGTAATGTTTTATAGTTTTAGTTATGTTAATCATAGTTTCTTTGGTCTGTTTTATTTTACAAAACTATTTCATATGTTCGGCCAGAGGTCAAGTTTCCAGACAGAAATTTTAGTAGAGTGCTAGTAAATAGTATTGCAATCGCAATTTCATTTGAATATTCTTTGATTGAGATCTCACGATAGAGCATGTTAAAAAATTCTTTGCGAGGTATCAGGTTTTGTTGTGTCTTACCTCGATAAAATGGTTTTCACCTCGCAAATTTTATTTTAAAAAATTGCAGTAACAAAGGTATGAAGCGTAAGAACATCGTGCGCTACACTTATTGACGTATTGCTCACGTTTCTCTGGGGATTGGTTGTTGATAGTGGCGAAAATCTCTTCTTACAGTTGCGTCGTCGATTACACCGTTTAGATGCTGTTCTATCCAGTTGCTGGGGTCATTCATCTGCTATAGGGATCAAAAATGTACGTGTTGTGACGTTTTGCAACGATTATAATAAGTTATCTGGGGTTGCATCGGTTTTAACTTCGTTGGTTAAAAACTGGTGCCACCTTTTCAACCAATCAGATGCAAAACTAAAACCAATCGCGACTCCGTTACTCGCGTTTTCCCGCGCTTAACGCCGGTTACCTGCGTTTTCCTAGAATTTTCATTGGCTTCTTCTAGAATTGTACTTTGTTCTGATTGGCTGTCCAATTACTTTGGTTTCGGTTTTTACTCGACATTCTACACCAAAGAACTCTAACGTTTCTTGCAGCTCGGTGTGGGTTTTGCTTTGTTCGGGATCTTGGGCAACTTGCTTCATCCAATCAAAGCCGATGCTAGGCAAAACTAGCTGTTTAATTAACTATGAAGCGAAATCCGGCACGAATTTAACCGATGGTTTCTTTATCTAGCTTGGGGATTAGTCAGCATTTATAGTTTGGGAGGGACAGAGAATTTTACATGTGTCACAATAACATTTACCTGATTATCCCTCCCTCCCATTCCTCAAGTTTCTGTAGTATTGTAAAGATCTCCCCCTTATTGGCACAATATTGACTGATCCCCCCTCTGATCCCCCTCTCTCCCCCCCTGAAAACTATACGACCTCCACCAAAATCATCCGAGTCCGATGAATAATAAGTGAGTGGTCCCTTAGCAAAGCCTTTACTTGTAGAATGGTTTAGTCCTACGGTGATACATCCAACACTTACCTTACATTTGTCCTGCTCTGTCCCCTTATCTGCACCACCATCAGAAGTGTTGATGTACTTTGTGAATACACTATTGTTCCACTCGTTATGGAACCTCACATCGTTCGTTCCTGTAGACTCATTTGGGCCCCTAAAAACAATTTTCTTTTCCGCCTGGGATCCCTTTGTAATCTGTAAGATAGGAACTGGTTTTGTGATCACTTTGAGTATTTCGGAACTCTGTCCGTCTAATGATCGAGTGAGCATGGAATGGGCGTGGCTTTGTTTAGGGACGTTGTTAGGTCGAGCATTAGATTGACCTCCAACACCGCACGGTGGAGCAGGGTTGCGCGTGTACTTGTTTGCCAAATATTCCATTATGATCTGTTTCCGTTTTTGATCTTCGATTTCTTGCAGGAGCTTGGCTCGCTCTCTCTCCTGGTCTTCGAGCAGTTCCTTCTCTTTTTGCCTTTTAAGGGATTCCTCTTGTTGCGGCCGTAGTTTAGTCTCTATTACTCGACTGTCCTGACTGGTATTACTGTGGCCATCTGTACCAACTCTCACCTTATCCATATTGGTGTTGGTTGGTCTGTCGTCATGAAAGTAAGGTTCAACCGAGAGGTCTGGTCCAGCTGGCCGTTCGTAACTCGACACAGTTTTCTTTTCACGAAGATTTTCCTCACGATTAATAGCGGACTCCGTTACTTCCCTTTGATCTCTGAGTAAGGACATTCCTTTGAGATACCTGTGTATGCCGGGCTGGAAGTTCGCTTTCGTGTGAGTCTCGTTGTTTTGGTCGTGCGTCACGATGTTTTCGTCACTGTTGCGTGACTCCTGATTCTCAGGCTGTTTACTTGAGTCTGAGTTGGTGTTGCTGTTCTCAGTACCAAGTCTCCTGCCATATTTGGTGTGAAACTTGGACTCAGGTTGAAGAATTTCCTGCGCCTGCATTAAGAACTGGCGGGGATGTTGCGGTGTTTTCTTGTTCTTCACGTAGGACTGGTAAGCAGCAGAAAAACTGCAAATGAATAAACAGAATTGAAGTTGTAACCCTTAGACCCCATGTTTGACTCGTATCTATTTCCTCCTTGCAAAATCGCCCCTCAATCAAACGTCAAAGGTCAGGAGAATAAAAGAAATGATCACCAACCAAAGAAGCTCTTGATTTTTAAAGGAAGTCTCCTTGTCAGCACCGCAGGAAATTTATAGAGAACAGTATGGAGAATATGCAAACTGATGTAAGGGTGCAAAGGGCATGGCATTACTTTTGTGTAAATCATGGCAACACTTGTGAAATTACTACCAGATCACCTGCAGACAAAATTTAACTATCGAAACAGTACCTGTCATTTTTAAATCTGGCTCGCTAATCCTATACAAATCAGTTAAAACTTAATCAATCCTACAGTGATACGAAATGACGTTGGATGTCTCTAGGTATTTTCGAATCGCCGCAAAATCTTCGCAAATCTCAATTCTTTTAGCTTGTCGAGCTAAACGGCGACTGCAAGATTATCGTATCCAATACGTTATGGCTCCTCAAGCATAGGCCTGTTTCCTTTTGCGCAGTGTCACCCCAGCTCTGAAAGCGTTTACCTATCACATCTTTCTTCCCTTTTTTCCTCTTTGTGCGGATTCCGTGATGCACCTTGTTGTGGAGCACTTCGTGATTTTGGAGGCTGTGGCACGCGCTTGTAATAATCAGCAAGATCTAGAAACTGACATGTTCTCACAGGCGACACTGCTCTGTTGATACATTGTGCTAGTGATGAAGGGGACATCTTGCTCCCACTTTTTGGGGACCGGAATGAATTCTTTGGAGGAGAAAACTTTTGGTTCATTGGCAGCATTTGCAGAGCGTTTTCACCCTCGGCTACAGTCGACTTTGTGCTTTGTGTATCTCCAGAAGTAATCTTGAAATGGTACTCCGTTTGTATTGTCGTGTTCATGTCTGCTTTGTTCTTGAGAATCGCTTCGAACTTTTCGTTTTGAATGTCTCCGGCATCCTTCTTTGATTGTGCGCAATTTCTCTCTGAGGCACTAACACCAGGTTTAACACCAGGTTTGATAACAGGTTTAACACCAGGTTTAACACCCTCCTTAACATCTACCGAATGACTTCCGCTACTTCCAAACTTTTCCGAAGGCTGAATTTTTGTTTCCGGTTGCGGAGGTTGGGAAGCCAATAGCTTGGTCTCCGGTCTTATCCGGGGGGACATAACAACCTGTGTCCCTTTCACCTCACTGTCAATTGAAGGCGTAAATCGCGGAATACATGATTTACATCTGGTTTTACGAATTCTTTGCCAAGCAGGTACACTCCTAATTCCTTTCTTACGGAACGATAGTGTCTCTCCGGCTGCATTTTTCCCTGTGAGGGCTGTTTTGGGTCGTGTTTTCATGTAGGACTGTCTTCTGGTCGACATCGATTGAGCGCAGCAAAGTGGACGCCCTCTGATCCTGAGGCCCTGCCGCGGATAAAATAACAAGGTTACTATCATGGCCGTGTTTCCAGTTCTTCTCTCTCTCTCTAATAAGAAATAAGGAGGTTAGATGGCTTAAATTTCTTAAATGTTCGGTTCTTACCTTCAAATATCGTTCGACAGGCTTGCTTTCTCTAAAACATCTGAAAAAGAAAATAAAGATATTGCCTTAGTGCAAGTGAATTAGGATTACGATACGAGAGGCGATACGCGTGCGTTCACTTAATCAAATTCTTTTGACTTGTGGGACAGCTTACCCTTGGAAAGAGGAACATTTTGAAGTCTTAACTGTTAAGCTTTGAACCACTACATTCTATCTCTTCGTAGAATAAACCTACTAGCGTTCTATCAAAAACACTTCAGTCTGATTGGCTTCACTACCCGCTATCTATTCCATGATGGACAGCTAGAGAGTTCAGTGAGTCGCACGTGGCGTGACTGATGTTTAGGTATAATTCCATGAACGTGCGTCGGATGTGAGATGGTAAATAGCCAACTGTTAATTAATCGATAACATGGGCCTTTCTTGTTTGGAAGTTTTGTTCGACTCGCAGATTTGTAGTAAAGCAACGGAAAGTTCGATCTCGTGATCTGATTTAGACCAGAAGAAACGACTACTCTTGTTTAGCTTCTCTATAGAAGTGCGTAAGGAATCGTACGTACATCCGGGGCAAAGTACGGGATTACTAATGCACACTTTTACTTCTTGTTTTTAGCGCTCGAAATCATATAATCTCTTAATAGGCAGAGCTGTGGCTTTGTAACTCGATAAAGTTAAAACCCCTGCAGTTAACTCACTTAGGTTTGTGGTCTAGAAGCTTTCGCGTTGGCGCTTGGTCCCAGTCGGGCCCGGTGTGTGAATCCTGACCGTCAGAATCGGTCGAGCTTTCACTTTCATGGGACTGGGAACCATCCTCCTGGCCATCACACGAGGCAGCATTGATGAATACCCGTATGAACGAATTCCCTTGATCACTGTTAACACCGCCAGCACAGTTGTTTGACGAAAGTACGTTTTTCTTCTCTTCATCCAAGAGCAGATTATAGACACCTGACACGGCGTCATATCTCTTCTGATGAACGTGGAAGGCAATCTTAGCTTTATCCATGTTGATGAGCTGGGACGCTCTACTTAAAGCCTTATGAAAACAAATGTGTAAAGGCAGAAGTCAGAGATACGCTCAATAAAATCATCTCGCCGCATTCGATTACACTGTATTATTATATGAGCCTATTGGCAATATCTGCCCATACAGAATCGTCGTTGCCGTATTCCGGTTTCCATTGTATGAAGCGGCTAAGAGTATCACCACTCACGGGGGATACAATACTAATCTATCGCAGGTAATTTTCCCAATTTTGTCACGGTTTTCTGACGCTTCGCCGTCCAAAGGATCCGGATCCCCCATCAGACCTGAAAGGTTTTTATACCACTTGTCTGACTCCAAAATGTATGCAACAACAGGATTATCTGTCGCTACGCAATATGAATTAGTTGAAAGTTGCTTGTGCTGAAATATTTGTTACAGTATTTAGGCGCTATAGTTAATAAACTTTCTTTGTTTTCTGACTCATTCATGAAGGACACTCCACCCCCCACCCCTCCTCAAGGAAAAAATCCTGGATACACCCACGAGTGCTAACTTGTATTCCTGAGTGGAGAGAAACTGTGGGAGTAGGGAATTGCCCAACGGTGCAACAAAAGAGACCTTAGCCACATGTTTTGCAATCTGAGAGGGGTGGGTGAGGGTTCCTATACTTGCTTCTGGTAGGATCAGAAAGTATTGCTGCGTTCTTACGGTGATTATTTCAAAGAGGGGTGGGGTGGGAGTGGGTGCCTTTAGTTCGCCCCGTGAATGAGGATCTAACAATTCACACAACGGAACGTCGAGTTTGTTTTGTTCAATCACACGGAAACAAACGGAACCGTTTCGTTTCCTTATTATGGCGACTTGTAGCGTGATAGTATTCCTCAAGTGGCATGCCTGCACGTGCACTACAATGTTTCATTGGTAAAGACCCTTAATTTTCGCGGGGAGTGACGAGCTTTAGGTTTGCCATTTTACATTAACAGTGACTCTGAATTTCTTATTGCAATTGATTCCATTTAAAAGCTGTTCAATCCACTAAATCTTCAATATTCATACCCACCTTATCTCGCAGTCGCTCGTCTATAAGTGGCTCAGTGTTTGGCACCAATGGTGCGGTCCCATACGCAGTTACCCAGGGGTGGACCATCACGTCCGAAAGGGGCGAACGTATCCGAGGATTGGGCTCTAGGAGTTTTCTTAGCAGATCACGGCAATCTGTCAGTAGGGAAGACAAAAGACGATTGGCGTTCACCAAAACGTGATAGACAGCTTTGTACCAAACATGTAATGTTTTTTATTCATACTTACGTGGTGTTAGAAGCACCAGATATTTGATGTGCGTGCAACTGAGCCCGCGAGACGTTTGGTCCAGTAGTTCACTTCGACCTCTGCTGCCAAAGTAAGGACTTCTGTAACATAAAAACAAGTAGCTCAAACATAGAGGCTACGAGACCCAAAAATAAGGCAAGTAATAGCTTTGAAAATTTTTCCGGCTCGAGAATAGTACTTAGTTGGTTCAGAGCGAAGCGTGATGAAGAGGAAATAAAAAATATATTTTCCATCCCGCCAATCAAACCCCTGGAAAAGAAAAATGGGAAAAGAGGAAATGGAGGAAAGGAAATGAAAAAATAAAAATGAATTAAAAAGAAAAAAAGAGAGCGCGAACGCGGGATGTCGGTCGGCCTTTACGACGTCGTGAAAATGATCCCAGTCCTCCACGAACGCAGGGGATGTTCTTCCTGATGCACTGGAAGGATAGAGCGTAATTGGTGGGTATTGACTTCTTTTTTCTACATAAACATTGCCTCTTTATGTAATTTTTTGCTCCTGATTACTTTTCTTCCTTTTATTTATTTTGTGTTTGCATTTTTCGTTATCTCGAGTGGCATGATCATCCAAATAATGGACGGGTTACTTCAACATTGACTGCAAGTGGTCACTTAATTAACACACGTCACAAACTCACCAATCCTAGAAGTAAAATCATTCTCACCTGAATGGCAGCCTTCCAATGACAATCCCATACATAACAACGCCTCTGGAATGAATTAAATAAAGAATTAAATAAAGTAAGATAAATAATAAAAGTCAGAAACTCCGGTGGTGGTAAAGCTAACGTATTGTGGGTTGATTGCAAATGATGTACACGCGATGTCAGGGTTCGGCACTAACGGTAGCCAACTAGCCACAGACTAGTAGAAATTCAGTTTTGGTTAGTAGTTTTCGATTTCCACCAGCAAGTTTGGCTAGTAAACAAACTGAAATTATTGTGACATTTAAGTTGTCACTAGCCCCTTGGCTAGTAAGTTGAAAAGTTTGTGTCAAGTCCTGGATGTCCAAATGGCTTCTGGCTCCCTAACCCTTTGACCTCTCGAGGTTACTAGCAACTAATTTATCACTAAGATTTCACCGCTGAATCAAACATCATGCTCCTGAGCATTAAAGAAATGATTGCAAACTTGAAAGCTCTTAATTTTTTTTTTATTAAAATTCTTCTTGTCAGTGCCAAAGGAAACGTATAGAGAACAGAATGGAGAATATACAAGCTGATGTTGGGGTGTACATGACATCCAGTCAATTAACAAGGAGTACTGCTCCTCTCTCAGGGTCTAAGAAATGTGAACTTTCTTGGTTTCATAATAATTTGCACATATGTTGTTGTACTTGCACTGATAGGAACCTCCCCAAAACAACCTCCAATTTTATTCTGAGGACAGTTCATTGATTCACCTGCATTTTAATGTATCTTTAATGGTCAAATTGCCCCTAAAGTATGTCTTAGCCCTTTCAATCCCAAGATCTTATTTATAATTCTCTTTATTGTCTGCTGTATGATTTTTTATGATGTTAGTTCTGAGAATTTGGTATTTGATCAACCCATAATTCCATGATAATTTGATATTTTTCTTTATTCTCATCTTTTGCGTTGGTCACCCATTAGAGTTAAAGGGTCATTAGTGCCAAAATAATTCTTGATAATGGCCAGTTTATTGTCAAAGTGCACCTGCCAAACCCCACTTTTTGTTAAACTTGACAAGTAAGGACACCACCCTAGGCTTCTCAGAAACACTTAAAACATGGTGGAGGTTGGGGGCGGGGAAAAGTCAGGGGTATTTGGTACTCCCTCTCATGTCTCCCAGTGTTGGTGTTCTAATTTAACTGCTCCTCTTGTAATCCTATAATCCTGTAATCAAGTTTAATGTCTTTCAGTGGGGCATGGTTGCCCATATTGCCCGAGCCAGAGGCTCATATAATTGCAAGACAACACCCACCCATCCCACCCCAGGGGAGGACATCCATCACACAGTAATCTCGTGCGTGGGAAATTAACGTCTCCTACCCCTAACCCTGCAGGAGATGGGACCTCCATTTATTCGTCCCTATCCAAGAAGACTAGAATATCTAAACCATTTCTTGATGTTATAGAAAGGCAGCATATTCTTCTCAATTACTTTAAGACCTTGAGTATTGGTCTGGCCGGGGCTCGAACCCTCGACCTCCCACACATCAGTCCAGTGCTCTATCAATTGAGCTAACCCTCTCTTCCTGAACATAGAGTTCTTTGTCACAGTTGAGGTAAAATAATTACCATAATGATTACAAATGTTTCTACTCACAGACTCCATAAATCTACTTCTTTGCCATATCGACAACCATGCTTGAACAATTCTGGTGCAGCATACTCTGGGGAGCCGCACTGTGTTTTGAGAAGCGTGTCACCTTGACAAATGTTACTCAGGCCAAAGTCTGCAAAGAAAACAAAAATGCATATAAAGACAGAGATATCAAAGGTCAGAAAAAACGGTTTCTTTATCTTATTTCTTTAACTTATTTTTATTCTGTCAAAACAAACACACTATCAGTATTTGTTATTTTATACATAATTTTGTTAGTCCAGACCATCCAATACAGCTCAAATGAAAAAGTTTTGAGGCATAGTTTCCTGGTTTGTAGGGAACTCGCTCTTGGATTTATCCCAAAAAATGTGAAAAATTACTTTGGATAGTTATAAAATATTTTACACAATTTAACCCTTTTAAAAATGTATATTTTTGTCAGCAGCATGTGTAGAAGAGAAGGAAAAAGATGTTTTTTATTGTTTTATGAATTGATTTCATTGTAAGTACCGAGAATAGTGGTGGTTTACAATGTCTGCGAGACTGGATCTTAACATTTTCAATAACAGAATAAGCACCCAGAGAGTTTTTACTTTTTTTAGCCAAACATATGAATCTTAAATGGTTTTATATATAGTATATACAACAATCCATTCCTAATAAATGTAACTGTTGGCAATAAAAAGACCAAGTTTCTCATCAAACTCTAAAAGCTGTTCTTGTTAGAGGAACCATATATTTTACCCTTTATCTCTTATGAAAGACCATCATCCAACTCCATTTAACTTCTTACAATATCACCTTAAATCACACATTAAGGTCACAGTAAAGGAAATGATCACCAACTAAAGTATAAAGGCTGATAGTTTCGAAAGAAACTGTTTGGGGCTGCGTCGGTGGGAGTAACGAAATAATTTGGATATATCAACAAAGTTGAAATGGTAAATTGGCCACCGTAATGATTACAAAAGCTGACGTTTCGAGCGTTAGCCCTTCGTCGGAGCGAAGCTTATTCGCTCCGACGAAGGGCTAACGCTCGAAACGTCAGCTTTTGTAATCATTACGGTGGCCAATTTATCATTTCAACTTTGTTGATATATACCAACTAAAGTAGCTTGTGATTGTTAAACAAATTCTCCCTTCAGCGCTTTAGGAAATGTATAGAGAACAGCATGGAGAATATGCATAGTGATGTTAGGGTGTAAGGGGTTAAAGAAAGCATTTCATCTTTATACCTACTATCTTGATATTCTTTTTACTTTCATCCAGAAGGATATTTTCCATTTTTAGGTCCCTAAGAAAAAAAACAAATATGAGAAGAGAAGCCTTTTTCAGTAGCTTTGTGAGCATTGTCTAAGACTGTGTGTACAATCAGTTGTGATTAATGATGCTATACTTGGGTTGCAAGTATTTGGTTTGACTGGGAGAGGGTGTTTTAGATCAAAAACCTTGCCTGCATGGACTAACAGAGGCACAGTGAAAGCACAAGTTTCACTTTTTTTTTGTGTCTACTTTTTTTTATATGTGCACTTGATTTTTTTCTTCATTTGTAGTTCCTAGAACACAGGCTTATTTATGCTATCAGTTTGCAGTAATATGACTAATCTAAAGCTTATAGAAATTTATAGCAATAAATTCGGTGATAATGAGAATTGTATTCTGATAAGGTGGTCTTCATAATATAATTATGAAGTAAAATATCTTTTGCAATCAAGCCTCCAGACATTAATGAAAATTGATATCAATGCTTGATGTCATCATTGAATATTGAAATATTTCAGAAAAGATGTTCTTCATTTTTTCCTTGCAAAATTGAACTATGGATTACTGTAGATCATGTTACATTACTGTTGTTCTAGTTTGTTGTGTTATTAATTTCCTATCCAGACTTTTTGATGTTGGAAGTCTCAGATTAAATTCAGTGTAAATGATTTTTCAAAAGGTAATGTAGACTGTATTTTCATTATTCTTAAGATTTGCAGGGAAATATGTGTTGAGTTGAAAATAAAAAAAGAAAGGCAAAGCATGCAAATGCATAGAACAGATTTTCAACTCAATCGAGACAGGTAAATTTGTGTAAAAAAGTGTATTCTTAATTCACTGTGTGTTTTTCTTTTTTGGACCTTATTGCCATTATTTACAATTTACAATTTAAAATCTCAATTGTTTATGGCTTATATACTTTAAAAGATGTCCCTGAACGTGTTAAAGCTGTTTACAACTTTTGTTTTCAATTTTACTCTCCTCAGTTGGAGTGAGGAAAAGCTGTACAATTTTTGTGGATTTGTTTAAGGGTGGAGCCTAAGGCAGATGTTGGATATGACGCACCTAGGAGTTTCCTCTACGAATGAGATATTAAAAATGATTGACAGATGTGGTCTCTAAAAAAACCAACTCATGATAAGACCACTGTTTGCATATGAATTATTGAAAATTTGTTGGTACAAAACACAAGATTTTTTTTCACCATCACTTCTTCATGAGGACGATACTGCTGATTTTTTTGGCCTAGTGAAGAGTTTTTTTCGCTAGTTTCGCTCTTAAGTGCATTTTTTTCGTCGATAACATTAAAAAACTAAAGCTGTTTGCTGTAAAATTAATTTCATGAATAAATTCATTTTTCTTTTTGTTTCGGGTGACAACTTAGACAATTTATCTCAGGCGACATTCCATTTTTTTTAGGCATATAAATATGTTGATCGACTGAGAATGGTTGCTTTTATTATCTTCACGACAGTATTTATTCAGATGTGGTATTTTAGACTGAATGAATCGGGGATATTGCTTTTAAAGAAACCCGATGTCTCCAGACACTTGTTGCGCTCGGAAATTAAGTGATATTTTTTTTCACTTGGAAAATATACCTTCAATAATTTATGACTCGGTTGGAGGCGAATAGACAGATGGTCTGTTTAAATTTAGAAATCAACAGACTCTTCAGTTTCATGGTTCATCTTCAGACAAAATAACGCGAAGCAGGGAATTTTAAGTTTTTAAAAGTTGAGTGCATTCTGCAATCATTGATAAACAAAAAACTCAGCTTTCAGCTGGCTAAATAACGTTCAAAACTAACTGGAATGATTAAAAGCTTGCGTCTAGAATCTTCGGAAGTCGTAATCTTCAGTTTTGAATTATTCGCCTGCTGTGTTTTTGAGAAACTCTCCAATATATTTTTTTTTATTTTCATTAACACAGGAGAGGAAAGGCCTCCTTATTGTTGTTGTTTCACTTAACGCACAAATCGTTTGTTGTCCCTGCAAATGTTAAATAGAGAAGCATCCGGTGCTTCGATCGTTAATGTTTTTTTTTTTTCCGAAAGGGAAGGGATTAAGATTGAAATCAGGCAGATATTGCCCCTAAAGGACAGAAGGACTAAGCTTCCTTCGACATTTATCGCAAATTACTTTGCCACCGTAACATCCTAGAGACGCTAATTTATTCAGTCGCTCGGAAACAGCCTTGAACTATGTAATTAATTACCGCAATGTATTCAGACAGAAGTAAATACTACAACAAAAGCGTAAAGTCCGACATGACACCGAACAAATGTGTCCATTCTGCGCTCTTTCCGAGTGTTAATAGCGAAGGAAACAGTCATTGAAAATACGTCGTTTGAGAAAATTAAGTTTCTGCCTGTAATTTTCCGTTTTTTCGCGATTAGTTTAAAATTTGAAGGAAATCGGCGCTTACTAAAAAGCGGGTTGAGTTTAAAAGACCGCGAATTTTACATCGTCTTTGTATTTTAAATCCAAATTAAATGTACGTAACAGATGGAAAAGAGATTTCTTCTCACACTCTTTAACAGACACATATTTCTCGCTTGTCCTTGATCTCCAAGCGACTTCGACCACAAATTATCATTAAAATAAAAACGGAAATTTATAATGATGATAGTAATAAAGAAAAAAAAAAAACGTGTTGTTGGCTCAAAGCGACACTTTCCTTTTTTTTTTCAGCTATCCTGAGTGTTTCTTTTTACTGTCCGCAGAACTGTACAATCGGTCTTCGTTTGTTTTTGATACCCTAGCAACGTGGATCGTGCATATTATCATAAATGCAATATTACTCGTACGTTGTTTTCAAAATTGATGTTCAGTTGGGATTAGTTCGGTTACCCATCTTACCGATGAACGATTCCATTTTCGTGCATGTGATGCAGCGCCGATATAAGCTGCCTCATAATTGGCCTGGCTTGTGATTCGCTCAATTTCGACTCGGGCTGACTTCGTAAATGGGTCAATAACTCGCCGCCAGAAACATACTCCGTCACGATGCAGTAAATCGAGTGCTGTTTGAGAGTCTCGTAAAGTCGAACTATGTTCGGGTGGTTGACTTTCTTTAAGAGCCGGGCTTCTCGGAGGATGTTTCTCTTAACGTAATCGTCCTTGATCTTCCGCGTATCTATGACTTTCATAGCAACCTATGAGATTAGATTTATTACAAGCTGCGTTTACTGGTGGAAAAAACAACAACCGAATATGATAACACAACGCGCCTTGAGTAATTAATCTTTTGAATAATATCCCTTCTCCACACCTACATTGCTTGACAATAGCTGTAATTAAGCCACCGAACAATAATTTGTAAAGGGCTTTGAAATGAAAACGCAAACCGTCGACAACCGACCTTGCTATTGGTGATGCGGTTCGTCGCTAACTCCACGTAGGCAAAGTTTCCCTTGCCAAGCCGGTTTCCGGTCAGATCATAGGTCCCGATGCGTTTTAAAACCAAATTGTTCGAATCGGAGCTCATAATAGAAAAACTCACTTCAGATAGCGTACAAAGTGGCCCATTTGTAAACAGGAAAACCCCGCGACATTGCAATTTACAATCGGCATGTGCTATCAGCGCAGATCAACCAATCGACGGGTGGAATTTTGACCGCACGCGCCAGCTATTGTTTTCTATGGCTGACGATTGTGTCGAAAGACGCCTCTGATTGGTCGAAGAAAAAAGAGACACGTTCTGACGCGTGCCTTGCTGTATGAACGCTCTTACGAAAGCCAACATTTGAAAAGCGGAATATCGCGTCTACAGTAAACACACGCTAATTTTGGCCCCCACGAGATCTTTTTTTCTTTGCTGTAAATGACTACAAATTAGCAGTTCAATACGTTGATATCCGACAGAGGAAATGCGCACGAGGAATAACTTTTTACGCTTTGAAAATAGGTAAACAGAACCTCGTGTTAGCATTGATTTATTTTTCTGTGGGCGGCTGTTTCTAAATACTTTTGCGTACGACGCTTTGATACTGACTGCGATCTTGAGTTATTTTAGCAAGCTCTTAATTTTAGTGGATCTCTCGAGTCAAACTTGTTATCTTTTTTTCAAATTCCACGCTTCACTGCGATCACATAAACTATTTATAAGACAGCTAAGTGGACACGTTTTACCAGGGAAAAACCAGACTTTTGCTTCAGGCGATCAAATATCTGTAATGAACATCAAGCGTGCGCAACCTTCGCAGCTTGTCATACCCTGTGGTCTCCCTTAAGGCGAATTATTTTCAACAGCTAATCATGCACCATTCAAATTTTAATACATAGGAAAAGCTTAGTTTAAAATATGCGGTGCGAAAACAGATGCAGGCGTCATACCCCGCCCAAAATGACAACTGACGCGCTCGGGTTCAATTCGAACCTCCTTCGCCGAATTTTTTCGATTTAAGTCAGTGGCTGCGTTGGCTTCTTGCAATAATGATGTGTTGTTTTTCTTTTACACACCGTCTTCCAATACAAGTCGCCGAACCTATCACCCGCAGTAAGATTATGAAAAATTTAGTTTGCGCAGTGATGCGTTCAGCGCAGCTATATAAACACGGTGTTGCAACTTTTGCGGGAATCATGAATTTCTAATGTAGGTGAAGTAAAAGCGAAATGCTCACGTCCTAGGCTTTCGCGATTCCTTTTTTGAAACGGTTGTCTCGGATTTCCGCCATGCATGGTTCGTGCGCGCGCGTCGGAAGAATAAACACACCGAGTTTAAATTTTCATAATAATAGTGTTATAATTTTCTCCTCTTCAATTTTGATTCACTTTAAAACACGCTCCTCACGGAGAAGGAAAAGAGAAATTCGTAAAAATACAGCACTTCGGGGAACTTTTAAATTATTTAGGATCCTTTTTTTGTACAATTATCTTAATAAAAGCTCTCTAAAACGAGAATACATCAGTCGATACAAAAAGAACGAAATAAACTTCTTCGGTCGAAAAAAAAAAAAAGAAAACTGTACACAGATAAGCGTCCATAGCGGTTAGAAAAATCGAAGGGTTCAAACAACAACCTCGCGAATGTTCTTTTAAGCATATAAAAATCTCTGGAAGTGGAAATTCCACATGTCAAAAGTAGTGTCCTTCCACCAGCAGAGTATTTAACGGCGAAAATTGCAATCAGCTACAAATGTCCGAGAGAGTTTTCAAGCCACTGACCTTGAATAAGCTCAGAAACTTCAGGTGGGGTATAAAGATCGGGGAAATCAAATTGGCCACCATTTGCCCCGTTCAGATCAAGCAAAGGGGAAACAGGCAAGCCATTGAAGTTCACATTGCCAAATTCTAAGCTTGGCCACGAGTTGGGAATCTGTTGGTTGTGATTTACGCTCGTAGGCACTTGCTGATCTTGTTTGAACGCTTGCTCGAAGTCGTCATACAACGAAAGCTGATCAATTGGGTCCTCTGGCGTGGTGCCGATCGCATCGGGAACATTCGGCGGTGGGGTGATCGGCGAAACAAAATCGCGTCGTTGCTTCTTGAACGGAGGTTCGCTGAGGGAACTGCTGTGTTTCTTGGAGGAACCCAGTCCAGGAAATCCGTGCGCACCGGGAAGAGCTTCGCGCTTAGTGCCCGCCGCTTCAGCGATGTTCTTCCTTGAGTGCCCCTCCGCGGAAGTCGAGTTTTTACTATCTGGTGTACCGTTGCTATTCTTCTTGCTGGGTTGTTTTTTCTTGCGCGGACGGTATTTGTAATCGGGATAAGCTTGCATGTGTCTTATGCGAAGGCGCTCCGATTCCTCTACGAACGGTCTCTTCTCACCCTCCGAGAGCAGCTTCCAGCGTTTTCCTAGACGTTTGCTGATCTCGGCGTTATGCATGTCAGGGTGCTCTTCTGCCATTTTTCTACGCTCGATCTGGCTCCAAACCATAAACGCGTTCATGGGGCGCTTGACATGTTGAAGAGATTTCTTAGGTTCTTCTTCGGGTTCGTCTACAGTGGGCACTTGTGCTGGCGGGCTTGGCGAGTTGAGCTCGCTTCCTTGGAAGACCATCATCACTTCAATTACTCGTGCGCAAAAAAACAAAATATAAAGTCTCTCTTCTAAGAACAGTGGATGGAGTTCAGTGGTTTCAGCCAGTCAGGGAGTGCGAGACTCGATTCGTTGTGTCCACAGGTGTGGAGTAGTTGAAACACGGTCAGTAGGAGTGCAAGCTCTTTTCCCCTCGACACGTTATCAGCGAGTGGAGAAACATAAACTGATCGTGGCAATTTCTATTTTTAATTTACGTTCGACTTGAATTTGCGTTGGTTTCTCTGTGACGCCGTGACACGTCACCTCACGCTAACACAAAGGAACCAATGAAGGGGAGCAAAACCCGCTCAATGCTCCGCCCCGTATTCGCTGCACGGCTTTTTGATTGGTTCTTTTCGTGGCTCCATAATCGTTTTGCTTGTGTGTTTTTAAATGGGGTTTGCGCGCCAAGTGTCGGCGCTGGACACGATTTTGATTAAAACACAAGAATCGAATGAAATTACCGTGATATCGGCTCTGATATTTTACGAGATGCTCCACGGCTTCCGCAACGATTGAAATTTTGTCGCTAACGCGCTTGCATGCGTGCGGTTTCCCCTAAAAACGTGGAAGTAACGAGATCGGTTTTTTTTTCAGTTTGTTTCAAATTCATGCCACGTGCTTAGAACAATAGAACGGCGCATCAGTAATGACTTACAACACTAAGGGATTGTCACAACATGGGAAAATTTGCATCTCATTTCGGACTGTTTTGAATAAAAAAAGAATCTCTGGAAAGGTTTTTTTTTTTAAATCTGGCGTAGTTTCCAGTTTTTGCATTACGCCCTCACGGATTTACGTCTTTACCCTGTTGTTACCTCAATCATATAACATCTCTCCAAAGGTTTTCGACAAACAACGGGAATGAGCGCGTCGGCGGGTAAATTAGGAAAGATCAGTTTTGGATTTGATCCGCCAATGGCAAAGTTACCGTGGGAAGTTAGAAATAGGGCGGGGGCCACTAGAACGGAGGTACAATTAATCCCTGTTTCTTAGCTACCTGAATTTGGATTAAAAGTCAGCATAGAATTTGTGGTCGGTTTACTGCGATGAATGTTCGGGGAGTTTGAACCGAGCGCAAGAGATAGTTTGGTATCCGGTTTTTCATTTCAATATGGAGAAGTCCTCACGGACTGCGTCAATTAGTGCTGTATTCGTCTTTCCGCCTCAAGTGCCAAAAATCAAATTATAATAATGCTAATTCGGTGATGGAGTGGTTTTATTGATCCTACGGAGGTCTGAATGGTGACTCACACCTCTCTCTAAGAGTACAAGAGTTTTTTCGCTTTTATCGGACAAATTGTGTCTAGGCTCGGAAATTACGCAGATCTGATGCGTGAATTATAGAATAAACACAGTTTGGGGAAATTTACCGTCGGTGCTACCTTCGCAAAGGCAAAACAACCTGTTGAATGCGAAACAACCTGCCTCCGAGAACTCTAAATGGTCGCTTTGGAGACGGAAGCTCTCGGCCAATGGCGTGGCGAGTGGCGGTATATTGGTAGACAGGTGTCATTGGCGTCCGAAGCGATAGGGCTGATTCATTAAACACACAGGTGACACTGAGAGGTCACTGCACGACCCACGTGCTTAGAGACCGCCAGCTGGCTGCCAATCATCGTTGGACTGTTCTTTCGCGAGATGGGAAAATATAAGCCATTTAAAAAAAACGCCTCGTTCTTGCTGGCCGGAGCGGTTGCCGCGGTTTCTGTGGACGCGGGGTAGACTTTATTTTCCCACTCAAATTTGCCGCTCGGGTTTAGGTCGTGCCCCGTGAGGCCAGTGGCTTACTAGACCGAAACGTAGCACCGTAGCCCTGCCGATCTGTTAATGTAATTCCTTTTTTTCTCTTTTTCAAAACCTTCGCTATACTCATGTCGGTGTTTTTATTATATTTGACCGGATTATGCAAGCGAAGTGGAGTGACCGAGAACGGCCGCCTGTGATTGGCTGTTGCCACCTGAGCCAGATGTTTAGTGGTAAATTTACGGCGACAAGGTCTCATAGGAACAACCGAACGAAACACATCCTTACGAGAGAGTGCTATCTTTGACTTTAAGACGATAAGTAACTCGCTCCTTTAAAGATGAAAACAACGAGCACATCTTATATTGGTTTAGGTGCTGTATAAGTACACTACCTGGTGCAAACGATTCTCGTGAAAAGCTCCGGTATTTTGTTTTATATAGTTTTTACGTCTGATATCACAGTGGTTTTTTTTTTTTATCTTTCTTTCTGATTTGTAAGATCACAATTAGAATTTCTAACACCTTAGCCGTAAATCTTTTGGATGCAATTGTTGTTACTAGAAACAGAATAGTATACACTGTGAATCGAAAATAAGATACAGTATAGTGGTTCATCTTCAGCTACTGCGCATTGCAGATTTGTAATTGTCAATCGTACATTAACTTCAGGCTCTCTAATACATCATAGTACGTGCGGCAGAAGAACAAAAATCGTAAACATCTATCCTCGTACGTGACAGTG